AAATGTTTGTGAAAATTTGTTAAATTGTTGTTTGATTATTATCATGGATAGTGTTATTAATTTTCATCAAGGAACGTCAGTCCATTCATGATTTTTCACATATATGGCTGTAAATCAAATTGACTAGAAGATCAATTTGTTCAGGTCAGTCGCAACTTCCTACACTGTAGGTTAGTGGACTGACACCTATCAGAAAACCTGCGTGGATTAGCCAGGGGAGTAGTCCTTTTCTGATAAATGTCAGTCCATTAACCTACAGTGTAGGGAGTTGGGACTGGCCTGAACAAATTTTTCTTTTACTCAAGTTCATTCATGATTTCTTCCCTTGATTTTAATTCAGTGAAACATTGAAAAAAAAAATAAAAAAAGATGTATTGCAACAGACGAATGAATAGTGAGGTAATGCGATATTATATGTCGTTCATCCAGCTGCTGGACGAACCAGAAGCACAGAATACCTTTTAGACGGGACACTCATCTGGCGGAACTTTGATATTCAGAGGTCAAGTTTCTGTGACTTATATTCTGTGTTCGGATTATTCAATGTCACTTTTAGCGGTAACTTCAAATTGTTTCAAACTCATCAAATATATATTATGAGTGCAGTCGAGGAATTATAAGGATGACATCTCAACTATTTCAACCAAACATAGCTTAATTTTACCATGTTCAAGTTCACTCACCACTCAACAAAATTTTTGAACTTGCTAAGTGTTCGTTCTGAGAGGTATTCTGTGCCAGAAGCATCTGCAAAACTATCCTCTGTGATACAACTTGCATAAATGTTTGTCAGATATAATTCAGTTTCCATCGCGTGGTATTAGCCGGAAAATTAATTTCACTGGCAGACAGTGATCGTTTTACGTCTGTGAGCAAAACTTTTACGAACTGTATTTACGATTTACCATGTACGTTCGATTGATCAACCAATTGTATCATATTTATGTGGACCGTTTTAAACCTAATATCAGACACTAAATTTGTACGTTGCGAACTATTCCATTTCGCCAATAAAATCCAACTTTCCATCAATAACAATAACGGTACGCCCATGCATTTTGAAGCAAATAGCAGACATTTACCAGATCTTGCTGAGAATGCTGGTAGAGATTAATGTTTCGAAATACCATTTCTCAATATGTGTGTATCTCTCCTTGATACAGTCTAGCAGACTCATTTTGGTTTCTACGGAGATTAACTTTTACATATTTGATTTCATTTCAAGGAACAACAGACGACATAGTTTGTTGTACAAGTTGTACGATTTCAGTTGATGCGAAACGTTTCAACCATTGCAACGGGGTTGTAGGTTGTCGTAGAATCAGTCGTACGAAGTGGTTGAGTCGTACATAAATGTAGCACGCTTGAAAATCTGTTGAGATGTGTATAACTCAAGTTGAATATACGACGGGCTGCTGAGAATTGATGGTCTTCAAATGGTTTTTCTGTAGCCAAATATCTTATCATAATAGTTTATTTTTCTTCAGTACTTAATGCATCATGACTCTATGTTTTTTCGTAATTGCTGGTCGTACTTACTCTAAAATATTTTTGATTGAATTTTCGTCTATTCGTGAATATTTTTTGAATTATATAGATTGTATGGTGCATAGTTCGTTAGGTAAATTCATATGAGGTACTGTATGAGAACGAAACTTCAACAGCTTTGATGTTAGTGTGAACAATATACAAAACTAGTTGTACAACTAATTCTTTGGGATCGTTTTACGTCTGTGGGCAAAACTTTTACGAACTGTATTTACGATTTACCATGTACGTTCGATTGATCAATCAATTGTATCATATTTATGTGGACCGTTTTAAACCTAATATCAGTCACTAAATTTGTACGTTGCGAACTATTCCATTTCGCCAATAAAATCCAACTTTCCATCAATAACAATAACGGTACGCCCATGCATTTTGAAGCAATACAGATCGTACCATTGCGTGGTGTGGAGAAGTCATCGAACAGATGAAGAGAAGAAAGTATGTGAAAGTGTGGCCTAGAACTTCTGGCTCCCTGTCTTTATTATCAGATTATTATTAGTGGACTTGTCAAGGCCAAGTGTCTAGTAATACGGGGAAAAATACGCGATGCCTCACAACCGATCATTTTTTAAATTTCACTGTCACTTCGAGTACGAAGACTTGCTCCGTAATTTCAGTTTCCTTGCTCTTGCTTTCTCATTGTCAGTGGCAGAGAAAGTTCCGCAATCAGTCAAAATTTTTATAATGGAGCAAACTGGCAAAATTTACACTGCGTGAAAAATGATTGTAGGTACTTCACTTCATTATTCAAGGACGGCCTGAATCGCACTCAGCTATTGCCTCAGCTATTTGTCTCAATGTTGTATTGTTTGTGAAATATGAGCCTCAGAAAATGGTATAGAATATAATCATGCTTTCCAAGAAACATTTTCAATTGGTTTCTTTTGCAGGTGTAAGATATTCATTATAGATACACTCTGTATGTACATCGAGCGGTGGTATATTGTTTTTACGGGAATGTTAAACTACTTTTTTTTGTATATATTTTTTATATTGACATTCCAGTCAGTGGGAAATAGAATATGAAAAGTGAAACATCTTGTTTTATTATTCCAGAACGAATATTTATATTAATATTAGTTGTGAATATTCTGAGTTCCATCATATTATTGAGTTCAGTATATTATAGCAGGTATATTGTTCTTTGAAAGATAGACTGAGAGCTAACGCCCAATAATAGATTTGATCACTTACTTAGCTCTTCTACTAGTAGTAAATAATCAACTCATTTTGAGACCTTTAGCCCTAATATGCCCCTCCTAATTATTGAACTTATTAGATGCATAAATGGGAGAAACGTGGCATTGAACTTATTAGATGCATAAATGGGAGAAACGTGGCCACGCTAAAAAAATTGCAAGATATCTTTTGGGTAGTTGAAAATTTGTTATATTTGCCAAATGTATCTACGTTTTTCAAAAAATTTCAGAGCGGAAGTGATCCTTGCAGAGATGAAAAATGATAATTTGGTTAAGGGGACTTTCACATGACAATTATTTGAATATTCATGGAGCTGAATCGAATCTCTTCTGAGATCCAGCCAGCTGCTGCTGACACAATTTTCGGTACATTTCGTCGATTTCCCCAGAAAAGGATTCTGCTATGATGATTTGGCCCGGTTGCACAAAGTTATAGTGATATACACCACCAGCCGCTGACCACCGTACAGTGACCATGGTCTTTTTGGTTGGTTTTCGCCTTTGGGAAGTACGTAGGTGGATCATCGGCGTCCAACCACTGTCCTGAACGTCTCCTATTGTCGTAGAGAATACACTTTTTGTCACACGTGACGATCCGATACAAAAAAGATTCATTTTGGTTGCGCAAAAGCAGAAAAGAACAGACTTCGAAATGTGACAATTTCTGTCTATTGTTTAAATAGTGAGGCACCCACTTTTCGAGCTTTTTGACCTATTCAATACGTTGTTTACCTCAGATAGTAATGATATAAAAAGAGATGCCTTTCTCTCCTTGTTTCTGAAGCCAAATTACTTTGTTTATGTTTACGACAGTCCTCCAACTAACAGAAATAGATAATACCGGTATTTCATCGTTTTTGGAAGTTATTTTGGTGATTTGAGTGTTTATTGACCGATACAATTGATTTGTAGTGCAAAAAGTAATTTTGAAGATGGTGAAAACCTGCGTTGTTTGTGGATTTTCGCAATCCTCGCATATGTTGATGTAACATTTCATAGGTAAACAACAAATAAAGCATGGGCGTAACCCAGAATTTTCGATCGAATCAATAGTAGATAGTCATTAGAATTTTCTCAACATATTTTCCGCACGCCCCTGGATCCAGTCCAGAGGATTATGTAAACAATTCCCTCAGTCCCCTTGTCCACATTTTACTGTGAGAGAGATGGATATCCTGGTTGTCTACAAATCTGTTGTGTTTATATACGGAGGGCATCTCTACTTATTTTTTATTACTCTGAGTTGTATACCACCAAAAAACTGCATGGGAGCTGACGCCCAGTTCTTCCGTCATCCTAGGCACGGTTTGTGATGGGTAAGTCTCCATCAGGGTCCACAAATCCTCTGGAATCAATTCTGGACTAGCTTCAACTACCTGAAAAGAGCAGATATAATCCTGAATTCGCTAGAAGAAGCATGTAAAAAACTAATCAATAAATGATTGATCATTACATAACATATTAATTATTCTTGGAGGACTGAGCATGATTATCTGGTAAGAACTGATTCAGAAAAGGAGAGTAATTCAATCAATTTAGTAGGTCATTAAATATTGGGAATGTTTCAGTTGACTAATTTCAATACTTTTCAGAAGATCAGTTTGCTATAAAGAGATGAATAGTATACGTTGAATTCATTTCCAAAAGTTCCTTGATGCATGCTTTAAATCTTTTTACTGTAAATGAAGAGTTCTGAATTCGTAACTGAACTGCCCATATCCCTTTATAAGGAGATGAGTAACATAAGTGGAATTCATTTTTCCATTTCTAAAATTGTTTCTAAGTTCCTTTGTGCGTGCTTTAAATGTTCTTCTAGTTTAACCAATGTAAATCATATGGCAATTCTGATCAAATATATACATGTTAAAATTCTTAGTTTTATCTATTTTTTTAAAGAAATTGGAAATGTTTATTAGCCCAAATAAATTATTGCTCTAATAATTTTTCTAGTTTCTCAGAAATTAATTCCTCATTGAATATTTCAGCTTGCTCTTCATTACTCTTCAAAAAATTCTCTAATAATTTAGGATTGTTTATTTCTTCAAATTGTGGAAGGTTGAATACCAAAAAACAGACAAAAATATTGACCTTCCCGAAAACAATATATTTGCGTACAATATTTGTCATCTGTTGGTTTATTGATTTCATATTATTGGAAATTTGAAATACTCGACTACTGTCAAGTTATGACGAGCTGAGAGCATTGAACGCAGCCATCAATACAAACTGAAAAGTGGCAACATTGAACATACATAACCCTTCAGATCAATGTCATTGTTGAATTTTTAAAAGGTTTTATTTTTATTTATAAATGGAAATAAATTTCATACTTGAATTATGACATCTAGAGAAGCTAATTAATATCGAAATACCTAGTATAAACGTTTCTTACATACGCCTATAATGTGCGAAAATGGATCAGAATTCACAGATACAGTGGATCCCAGGGTACACGTAGAATTAGAGAGGTTGAACAATGCTACAGACGAAATAAATAAACTCGAAGTAGAGTTGGACGAATGCCGAACTGCTTTTAGGCAGCTGCTTTGTGACAGTACAGTAAAAGTTGATGCGATTCGTCTCAAACTGGGAATGTGTGTCGAAAGAGCTAGGCCTTATTACGAAGCCAGGTTTTATTCCAATGAAATATTCAAGCAGTCCCAGAGTGCAGCCATGAAATTCGAAAGAGCTAATAGTGCGCACAGTGCAGCTAGAGAAATGGTGTATCTGGCTGAACAGGGTTTGGGCGGAAGAACACTCGGTTAGTTTCCATATTTTCAGACATATACTGAATTGACATTTTCGCTAGAGATTTCAAACACGTCAGGGTGCAAAGCAAGTACATCTATACTGACCCATACTTGAAACATAAATTTTAGTAGGTAGTTAGGTCTATTACTATATAATAAGATTTTTTCTGCAGGTGGTTCACAGTAGCAAAATGAAACTGAAAAGTATATCTGAATGAGAAATGATGCAGTTATGAAATTCTAGTGGTATAAATTGTGGTACTCCAGTAAAAAAAATAATAAAGAAATAAAAGTGTAGAAACATAATGTCTGTTATATATTTTCTATGGTTGATATCAATATCAGAATCAATGTCAGTGAAATTGATTAGAACAAGCAGATCAACTAACCCAGAATTGGCAAACCGTTATTTTTGATTTTGACTATCTGAACAAAAACTGGAACCCTCAAGATATTTCTACAAATGTTTTCAGGAATTTTTTTGTTTCCTCCTCTTCAATCATAAAATTTTTGGAAATTTCCCATTAAGTATATTGTGCAACACTTGTTTCACTATTCAATAACTTCTTCGGACTTGTTTACACCAAACTAACTTCTACTTATTTCTTCATATATATAACTGACTGTTACTACCTACCTAATGACCAAGTTTTTACCATTCTTGGAACAAACATTAAGTTGGACATGTAATAAAAATTATGTTGGTTTTCATAGCAAAATGAAATGAACAAAGGGTAGTTATTCAATTTTCTTTGGTTATTGAACAAATGTTCTGAATTTTTATATGTATTGATTAAAATCACTCAACATACAAAATATGATTTGGAAATACTGAATTGCCTTCTGTTTCCAAAAATTACTTCTATATTTGTTTCTTCTTTTGGAGAGAGTTCTTCCCTGTTTAACCATACATTTATGGATAGCAACTACATGTCAACTCATATACTCCTGTTTATTATGTGAGCTATGACCAAATTTTTCTTTTTCTAAATACGAGTGAGATTATTTGTGGGTTACCAATGAAGATCAATGTCATGTAATGCCTAAAGTTTTTAAGTTATAAGGATAGACTAGGTTCATTGCTTGTTTTTATAGTTTTTTAGAAAGAAGGGAGTCGATGATATCCACCTCATAATCGTTATTGATAGCAATTTCTTTAAGGAAAGAAAATTGTTTAGAAGTGGAATGTTTAATAGTCTGTAATATAAAAAGATATATAGTGAGACACTGGTCGTGATTTCGCAAAAAGAAGTGTTACTTGAGAACATTTTATTTTATTCATTCATTGAATATTTTCTCAGATCCAGCATGGCAGGAAATGTTGAACCACGCAACCCAAAGAGTCAACGATGCTGAAAGGGATCGTGGATTAGCGGAAACTGAACACAGAATTGCTTGTGTTAAACACGAGGCCGCCAATGCTAAAGTACAAAGTTTACAAAAGGAGTTGAAGAGAGCAATATCTAAAAGCAGGTAATTATTTTATATCAACTGAGGGAATTTCATATAATTTTGTAAACATGTTGTGTTCTTTAACTCACCAAAAGCTTTATTCAATCACATTTTTTTTAAAGTATAATCTGCACAGTCTAGATGAAAGGCAAGATGCGTAAAAACACCTTATGCGATCAGTTGAATCCCCTCCCTAATGAGTAATGTGTCAAAAAATACTCGATCTGTAGCACTCTTGATAAAAAAGTCCAATAAATCTCAGCATTCCATTCAGAGAAGTGCAAAACGCATAACAAGTGAAACTTATTGACAAACTTTGAATATATACATTTGGAAATGAATCAAAGTGTGAAATATTTTTACATAATGGTTCATAAATTAAAGATCTTAGTGATCAAGTAGAAGCAATGACATTTCCCCTTATGAAGAAGAGATCTATCGGATTGACAGAGAACTCAATCTTTGAATATGAAAGATAAATCAACTACCAACGAGATTGGTCTCCCACTGCAGCTTCCACTGCAAAGCAACCTACTGAAAACAAGAGCCCAAATAACATATTTGTTATTCAACACCAGACAACGCTGTTTTAACTCTCCATAGGTGTTATCAGTGGTGCTAGGCCGAACCAGAAATGCATTGCTGGACTCAACTGTCCTTGAAAAACAAGCCTGGGTAAGTAAGGGCAATGACATCTCCCCTTACTATCCTGCCATCTATCGGATGGAAAGAGAAGTCCAACCTCGAATATCTAAGAAACGAGGTCCCATTAGACGGTCACTTGTAAAGCAAAGCTTCAACCTCGACCACTGACGAAATTCGTCCTCTGTCTTTCAGTTGTATTAGGCTGAACCACAAATGCACTTCTGGACTCGATTGTCCTTGGAAGACAAGTAAGGCAAGACCTTTAGCAAGTCAAAGCATGGCTGTCCGATGTTGATTCACAGATGCATTGTGTTTGGGATCTAGTTTTCAATTTTCTGAATGTAATTTCAATACATCAAACATACTATTTTATACTAATTTCGTAACAGTTTCGTATTTCACATTCAACTAAATTTAGGCACTTTTAGGTCCGATTTAGATATCCTAGTCCTTGTCTCAGTCTTTGTTTCAATTTTATACTTTGTCGTCCCAAAAATTTTCAAGACAGGTCAATTCGTACAGCATAATTTTAATCCTAATTATTGAGACTAGTCACATCTGACGTACACTATTACCAATTGGAATAAAATTATGAGATTTGCAACAATTTCAACAAATGTGACTTGTTATATACTCACCACTACATAGTATAAAACAAAGTCGCTTCCCGCTGTCTGTACCACCGCAAAATGGCGGTTGCGGCGGTACCGGCTGGCGGCGCATTCCTATAAATAGCGCGTCGAAGGCCGCGCTTCGTCCTATGGCATATAGCACTTTAGCAGCGATCACACGTGTTTATATGTATATTCAGTATCTGCATTGCACCCGTGCGGAAGCGGGGCGGAGTCGGGAACTTTCAAGGTCACAATTTGATATATGATAGAATTGACCGATATTTGATGAAAACTAACGTATTCAAAAAACACTTTATTATGAGATTTTCACTGAACGGTTTCACAAAAAACCACCCCGTGTTTCGCCATACAATGGCTTTTTCGGGTGTGTCTTTACTAACTAAATTCTACATATTCAATGCTTATTATATCTAATTTTACAATTAGATATAATAAGCTGCTTCTATGCTCTTTAATTCTTTGGGAAAAAGTTCTCCCTGTTTGGCCAATATACAATTTTGGGCAAGAGCCTCAAGTAACAATTTGAGGACAAATAATTTGTTCACATTGAGATTTATCAATAAAAAAAATTATATGATCAGAATACTGGTTTCAATAAAATATACATTTCTATTATTAACTTTTTTTCAGAGATATGACAAGCTGCCTATATTTGAATTCGTTTGGTACAGAACATATTTTATACTTTTCTACTCATTTATAACCTTTTATTTTGCATGAATTGTATGTACACACTTTTTATTTGACTTTTATTTTTCTTTAGTTTATCAATTCGACGGTCCCTTTTGAAAATGAGTAGCCTTTTATCACAGCATGAGTTGATGTTTCTGTAAGTATTTTTTTTCCGTATCAATCAAATGGCAATATACAATATTTCATGTTTGAATTGAAAAATTCGATTTGCATTTGTTTGTGTTGTTATGGAAAATTGTTAATGCAAATTGAGTAAATCGAATATTTATATTCCCAGGCCTTACTATGAATTGAAAGCGCATTACAATCAGCTTCTCGAACAGCAGAAGTCAAGAGTTCAAAGCTTGGAGTCGCAGGTGTCATCTGCAAAGTTAACCTACGCAGATGCATTGAGAAACCTCGAACAGATATCTGATGAAATACATCTGAACAGAAAGAAGGCTTCCTCTCTTGTAGGTAGCTTGTCGAGCGGTAAACAAAGAAGTCTCGACTCGAACGTGTCAATGCTTGACGACGCACAAGAACTGATCGAAGAGTACAAAAGTCTTCCGCAAAAGCTCGGAGAGCTTTCGAGTCCTATCACATCTAAACTTGAAGACATTGAAGGTTACCTCAATCCAATTCACAGTAGCAATGCTAGTAACTCTTCTCCTATATCGCCTCTATCGAATAGGTAAGTTTATGATAGGACTGACCAATAATTGAAGAAAATCCATTATAAGGTGATAAAAAAACAGGTTATTGTGAGATTTCCACTTGACAGTTTACAAAACCCCAACACGTGTTTCGATCACCAAGTGATCATCTTCAAGAGGAAGATCAAACAAGATCAGTTTGATCTTCCTCTTGAAGATGATCACATGGTGATCGAAACACGTGTCGAGGTGTTGAAATAACGGTTTGGTGATGCTTAGTTTTTAAGAAAAAAAAGTCGACCTAATTGCATATCCCTGGACCTCACAAGGAATAATATGAGGAATTAAATGTTTCTTTTGGAAATTATGGTGCTCCACCATAGTTTAGTGTAGTGGCACGGCAATTTTTGGATGAAAATTACCATAATCGCTGGATTGGGAGAGCAGGCCCGCACTCATGGCCACCTCGCTCGCCCGAAATGAATCCCTTAGATTATTTTCTCTGGGGACACCTTAAAACGTTGGTATACAAAACTGCTATTCAAAATGAAGAGGATTTACGGAATAAAATCATTGATTCATGTGACATAATAAAAAATACGCCAGGTATTTTCAGAAGAGTGCAAAATTCAATGATGCGGTGGCTAGACGGTTGTATTGAAGCCGAAGGAGGCCATTTCCAACACTTAATTTAGTGCAATTTGTTAGTCTAGATGTTAATGTTATTTAATATTTGTTGTTATTACATAATTAGTAATGAAAAATTGTAAATATAGTAATTTCCAAAAGAAACATTTAATTCCCCATATTGGTCCTTGTGAGGTCCAGGGATACGCAATTAGATCGACTTTTTTTTCTTAAAAACTAAGCAAGATACGAAAAAAATTCAAGAGACAAAAAAGTTATATTTCTAATTGCTTAATTCAAAAAAATAATAAAAATTGCACAAAAGTCAGTGGCGTACATTTTTTAGTCAAAAATATTCGTTCAAATCCCGCTCTAGACGCCACTGGACGTAAAATAAATTGAATCACGTTCGGGCAAAATCAGCTCCTTAATGTTATAAATACCATTGCCAAATTACAACAAAATTAGGTAAAGGATATTTAAGATATTTACGAATAACTTTTTTTTTTAATTTTAACACCCTGCATCTTGAGAACGAAGGATTTGCGGTCCCATGTTTATATGAACATTTCGTCTCAAAATTACCTAAACAATCGTCTGTTAAATTTATGGTACATACTTAATTCACACCCTGTATATCCACTTTAAGCACTTCTTTGGAACACTGCGACACTCTGTAGGCTAAAAAATATTGAATTATAAATTTCATACGAAGTTGCAAAGCTCTTGTGAGCTTGGAGTACAGGCCAAATAGATTATAGAAATGTTTAACTGAATGAATGAGTTCATGTAAGAAATGATTGGTGAAATTAAAACTATGAATATATTTTTTCGTTTAATTATTCAGTACAAAACTTACAGATAGGATTATGCTGATATAAGGAAGTTATTAAGAATTAATAACAAATAATGAGAAAATTGACAAATTCAGATAATTTTAATTTGATGATTATCATTGAACTAATTTTTGTTAGTTTTTGGAAAATATATGAACTGTTTTATAATTTTTTAGCCAATTTATTGAAAACTCCTAAACAATTTGAAATCGAATTATTCTTTACTTTGGTAGCATGTATTACATCAAGATGAAATTTATTGTAACTTTTTGTATTATGATCATGTAATTTAGAATTTTTTGATAATCGAATATTACTTTTCAGGAAATTTTTAGACAATTCATGTACGAACTTCCCTTTTTTAAAGAATTTCAAATGATTTAATGATTCAAAGTCATATTATTAGTCATCTTTTTTATTAACAGGCTTTTATTAGTTTCAACAAAGCTTGGATAACATATTAGGACCGACAGGAGAAAAAGTCAAAGAAATATTTTCGCATGGAATGATGATGCTCAACATCAGTTCACTCGGAGAGAGAAGAAATAGTGAACCAAAAGTTGGATTGACTGAGGACAGATCTAAAAATGGGAGTTCCAGAAAAATCCCCAGTCCACTTGAGAAAACCATGACATATCTAAATATCGAAGATGATAATTCTGACACAGAGAGTGTATCCAGGTTTGTTTCTTTTTGCATGTGATTTTGTAGTTTCATCAATTTCTACTAGAGTATTCAGCAAATAAACGGGGCGGTCCAAAAGAAACAGATGCATTTACTTCCTTCACTACTGACAAATTTCAAGATTTGCACAAAATTTTGTGTGAAAAATTAAATTAAATGCTCAAAAACACTTGAAATATTGACAGTGGCATACGGTGATTGTACTCTGTACCAGAAAAATGGTTACAAGTGATACACGCTTTTCACAGAAGGTCGAGAAGAGGGGAATGAAGAAGCTCCAGCACATCAACAACCTTTAAAAATGTTGAGAAAGTGAAGAAAATTATTATGGAAAATCGTCAAATCACTAAAAAAACAGATTATTACATCTCTGAATTCAAATTTCCTATTTAGATTTAGGTTTAGTTGTAGTCAATGACTTGTCAAAACACTATGTTGTGTAATATTGACAAATAAAGTACAATACAGCGAAGGTAGTTCGAAAATTGGTGAATGACGTCAACGGCGATCCAGATTTGCTTAAAAGGGTTGAAACCGCTGATGAATCATGGGTATATGGTTATGACATCGAAACCAAAGTCCAATCATCCCATTGGAATAGCCCAGGAGAGCCAAGACCAAAAAAAGGACATTAAGTCCGATCAAATGTCAAGGTTTTGCTCAATGTATTCTTCAATTACTGTGGCTTAGTGCATCAAGAGTTCTTGTCACATGTTAGATAGATAGATAGATAGATAGATACATTTATTTCAACAGAGTATTTTATAATCATTCACAGGACTGGCAGAATATTTTTGTCTGAGAAATACGTCAACAGAAAAATTGTAAAAATATCAAATATGTGTATATATAAATCTAAAAATGAAGCATTCAAAATGAATAGCTTCAAGTTTCAAACACAATTACAAACATATTAAAATGTGCGTCATATTGCGCATGATTACTGAAAGTAGAGANCATACAATCTCATGAGCACAGCTTTTCAGTATGTGTATGGGTACTTCATCAATACCTGTGCTTCTCTTGTTCTTCATTTTGTTTATTATTGAGAGTATCTCATCTTCTGTGACAGGGTTCAAGAACAGAGTGTTGCTGTGTGTACAGTCAATACACTGTTATAATGCCTCAGCCACCGTATCAGCCAGATTCGTCCCCCTGCGACCTTTTTTCAGTTTCTTAGATTGAAGAGACTCATGAAAGGAAGGGGTTTTGTAAAGATTGAGGAGATCAAAATTGAATCGCTTACAGAGCTCGAGGATAAACTAAAAAGTGCATATCAAAACTGCTTTGAGGATTGGAAAAAACGCTGGCACAAGTGTATTATACCTAAGGGGCTACTTTGAAAGGGACAATATGGAAATTGATGAATAAATGAATGTTTTTCGAAAAAAATAAAAATTTACCTTATTTTAACAGAGAACGTATACAATCACTTTACTCAACACTTCGTTTGTCGATCTCTCTACGGCGTTTGATTCACTGGACGATGATATTCTATTGAAAAAGGTCGAACTGTATGGATTAGTGGCAGAATGGTATTCTTTTTTGATAGGAAGGACTCCACAAATACTTTTGAAATTCAAAGTCAATAGTAAACTTGAAGAATCTTACTTTTGGATCCTCTGTTATATGTCAATGACATTCCTCAAAGCTCATACTTACCACCAGTTTATCAATTTGACAATTATGCGTCTTGCTTGACAGCAGCCAAGGATATTATGAATCTCGCAGTTAATGCAACAAAGTTGGAAAATCAAATATTAGACTGGTGTTCTGGTAAAAACCTTTGCCTGAATGTTTCAGTCGACAGTCATCTGCGGCAGTCATCTTGAGTAGCGTGGTCGAAGTACTCTTCTTGACGTACCTATCAACTGATATGTCAAGAAGAGGACTACGACCACGCCACTGAAGAGATTCGAAATTGTAACCGAAGAAGACTACAACAACACCCGGAAACCAAACAAAACATTGACGCCAACCATAAAAGCTTACTTTGTTTGAATATTGGTGAAACTATTGAACCAGAAGTCAATGTTCTGGTTAAACTTCGATCAAAATCTGCTTGATTCACCCATTTACAAAGTTTATAGAAGTGGAGATTGACAAAAATTTATCTTTTAAGAGGCATGTTTCAAATTATGTGGTAACGATGAACAAAATATGCTTAGCAATTCGTCAATTAGTGGTTCAGTTGACATAAATGATACGCGAATTATTCATTTTGCGCATGTGCAGTCAATTCTAAGCTATCGATTGATCTTTGGCGGGGAACCCATCATGCTGCTAGAGCTTTCGTGTTGCAGAAATGCATTGTGTGGAATACGATAGGACCAGGCTATCAGACAACTTTTATTGAAACTTGGACCATTGCGGTTTCCTTCCCTTCACGTTTCTAGATTACATCACTTATCATTTTGTAAGGAACATGGATAGATACACACTGAGGGACATGAATGTGCGTTCATCCAGTGAACTGAGAATACCACCTCATAGAAACGGCTCTATTTGAAAGAAGGGCCGAGTACAGAGCCATCAAATTATTCAATGATCTCTCGGTCGAACTATTGGAAGGATGCACTCGCCTCAAAACTGAGGAGTACCTGTTAAATCATTGTTTTTATTCCGTTGAAGAATACCTTGCCGCCCAATGACTTGAACATGTCTCTTGTTATTTGTCCAATGTGTCTGTGTTAATTTAGTCTATTTGTGCTGCATAAATATTTTCGTAATGTATCTTACAGAATGTGACTAAGCCAATACCGGGTGTCAACGAATCTATTAGACAAGTCATAACTTCTAGACTATTAGGTGTATCAAAACGAGATTTGGATAACAGATAAATGGTATGTGGAGAGGAGAGTTTTCACATATTTTTCACTTTCCGGTCACTTCCGGTTTCAGCGGAAATGGCTCCGGTTCTGAATTTTTAAATGGAACACCCTGTATATTGTAACATTTTTGGATTTCTGAGACAATTCTGGATCAGAAACTGACATTTCCGGAAGTTTTTCAGCCNTTTTGTAAACTTGTCTCATTCATATTCAACACACTAGTCACTAAAACTCCGCTATTGCAATTTTCTGATATCACCTGAGGTCCATAGATTAGTTTACGTCCGATCATGGCCACCTAGATGCAATTTTAAAAGTGACTCTGAAAAAATCAAGTAGGCTGAAAAACTTCCGGAAATGTCAGTTTCTGATCCAGAATTGTCTCAGAAATCCAAAAATGTTACAATATACAGGGTGTTCCATTTAAAAATTCAGAACCGGAGCCATTTCCGCTGAAACCGGAAGTGACCGGAAAGTGAAAAATATGTGAAAACATTCCTCTCCACATACCATTCAACTATATAAAATCTCATTTCAATTCTCCTAATAGTCTAGAAATTATGACTTGTCTAATAGATTCGTTGACACCCGGTATAACTTATAGATTTGATGACGTTAATAAATATTATTTTATTTTCAGTGTCGATATGCTGAACGAAGACCAGATCAACTTACTGATGTTGGATTCTAACGCGGTGTGTGAGCAAATTTTGGGTACGCCGATGACAGAAATCATGCTGTTTCCCCCGTCGATATCTTCCAACCAGTCAACTAGTCAGCAAAGTAAATAATCCTGAGAGGAGATTCAAATACTCGAGTACAACAATTCATACCTAAGGTTTTTGTAGTTCAAACAAAGATTTCTAGTCATTTTTCATTTACATTCTTAGGATTATCCAGAACTCCATATCAATGAGCAGCTGAGCTATTTTTGTAGCCAACGGGTCGACCACAAGTAAGGGAATTGAAATAAGTTAGTTTCGAATGTTTACAGCCTAATCCAGTGAATTTTGAAAGTGTAGCCTTTCAATATTGATCTCTATTTTTCAAGTTGAAAGTTCTCCTATTGGAAACTGCCAGTGCTTTCACAAGGATTGTCTTTCGTGGTCATTTCTTCAAAATAATTCGAGAAGTTATCTTTTGACACGGAGGAACAATGGAAAAGAGTTGCAGAGGTTCAGAAGGTTCAGTTTATTCTTTTTTATTTTTATTTTTTTACTCTGTGATCATTTTCATTTTGTATGTTGACTGTTTTATTCGTTTTATTGCATTTTAATTTCACGTTTTATTGCTTGAAATAATAGATATTGTTACGTTTTTCCCCGTGGGTTGACGAATAATTGACTACACTGAATAATCAAACTTAACTTTATTTCATTTCAAATACAACAAACACTTCAACTGAAACTTCAACTATTATTTGAATGTCTATCGCCTTACTAGATCACTTCGCGAACCGCACTGTAACGTCCACTTGACTGTGTCGATGTCCTCATGGCTAGCCTTTAAATATCGTAATTGAATGCCGAAGAATTTTCACCAAAGTTCGGTAGCATTATTCCCGCTGCTTCCAGAGAGGCGGGGAATCATCGTACATTCGCGCGCTCTTAGCTACGTCACGTTTGGTTTATGGTTACCAGTGGCAGCCGGCGTTATTTTTTTCGGGCATGATTTACAACACTACCCCCTTCGCTGAGGTTGTTTGCCCCGAACAAGAAGGCTCAGCCTCTCTATGTGGACAACTTTAGGCTTGCTTCTGGGTGACAATTGGATTCTGTACACCGGATCGTTTATCTTTTTGGTTACCAAGTAAGGTCCTTGCCATGGTCTCTGCAACTTGGGACACAAACCTTTCCAACGTTGGGGTTGGTAGAGCCACACTGCATCGCCCTCCTTGAAGCTCAGTTGCTTTTGTCAAATCCTGTCGCTGGAAAGCTGTAATTCGTGTACAATTTCCAGCCTCTCCTTCAGGTCATTCAAATACTCTGAAAGAGGTATCTTTCGAGATTCATCGAAAGGACTGCCATACAATACATCTATCGGAAGCTTCAGTTCTTTACCAGTTAACAACATGGATGGTGTATAATCTGTCGCATCATGTTGGAGCTCCTGTATGCCAACAGAAAAAGAGGGACCAATTTATCCCAGTCTTTTTGGTTTAAGGAGACAAACATCGAGAGGTAGTTATTGATGGTGCGATTATGTCTCTCGACCATTTCATCGGATTGTGGTTGAAGAGCAGTTGTTTTTGTCTTCTTTATTCCCAACGGAGTCATCATTTCCTACCATAAATCTGATTCGAAGTTGCGGCCCTGATCCGTGTCTGGCAATTACGTTCTACAACAGGGATTCTGCCACCGTTATAGCCTCTTGGTTGGGTAAGGCTACTACTTCAGGCCATTTGGAAAAGTAGTCCATCACAACCATGAGGTACTTGTTACCGGATATGGTCATAAGGAGTGGTCCCAAAATGTCCACTGAGATTCTCTCGAAAAGGGCACTCACCGAGGTACTGCTTCAACTTTCCTCTTTGCCTTGTCTTCGGACGCTTTCTCGAAGAGCACAGCTCACAGCGCTTATACCACTCTTCCACGTCTCGACGGCAATTGACCCAATAGTACCTCTCGCGCACTCTCGCTAGAGTTCTATTTACTCTGAAATGCCCTGCAGTGTGATTATCGTGAAGCTGTTCGAGGATACACGTCTTAAGAAGGATTATCTGGAATTTGTGGGTTTTTCCATCCAGGTTTTCCTATTTCCGAGTGAGTAGGTCATCTCGAATGCCTACGGGGCCCATTGGAGCCTTTTGGAACCTTTTCCTGCTGACCGTGCTTGGAAATCTCTTGCCATTCCGGTCTCGCTCCTTTGGCAATCCATTCTGGTACAGTTTTCAAGACGGGATTCTCCTTCTGCGCTGCGATGATGTCTTGCCTCGTCAGGAAGGTAATGTCACCCTCAGAGGCTGTTAACGATTGTACCACACCATAGTCAGATGATTCCTCAAATTGTCTGTCCGTATCCCTGGATAAGGGACCCTTACAGGTTGTTACCCTCTGGGTCAGACAGAACACGAAGCGGCACGGAACCCGAAGCGGCGGGAGGTAGGGGAGCTTATCTCCCTATCAGAGCTGTCCATAAAGGAGTCTCTGCCCGCTAACTCATCACGTCTGGTGGGAAGTTCTTCTTCTGGTAGCTGGGTATCCTTGTCCTCCTGGCATACCGAATGTCAGGCATGGTCTTCTTGAGAGGCTATCTATGTTTCCGTGACTTTTTCCCTTCCGAATTTTCCAGAAAAACCTCTCCAATTTTTTTTTCAACTCCTTCAAGCTCCCTATAAAATTTCCTTCCGACTCCTTAAAGCTCCCCTTCAAATTTCCTTTCAACCTCATCAAACTTCTCATCGACTATTTGTTCCAATCCCTCCTTTGTTTCCTGAAATACTTTTTCAAATTCCTCCTGAATTAATTCCTGTACCTCCCCTTTACTCACTTGGGAAGATTTCAAATTTTCAAATAAATGATGGTACGTCTTATTGTCTTTTGTTTCTTCTGAATATTTACTAATAATTTACGATATTCCTCTTGTTTTTCCAGAATATCTAGTAGTAATTCACGATCTCCGTTTCGGCGTAATCGTTCATCCCCTCTTTTGCGTTCATCTTTCTGTCTTCTGCGTTCATCTTCCTGTCTTCTTCATTCTCCGTCAGGGTCGCTTGCAAAGCGTCGAACATTTTCTTAAACTCTTCCATCTCGTCGTAATTGACACTCCTTGTTTTCACCATAAAACAATAAATTTTTAGTCAATTATTCCACTTCCGACACCAAAGGTTACGTTTTTCCCCGTGGGTTGACCAATAATTGACTACACTGAATAATCAAACTTAACTTTATTTTACTTTAAATACAACAAAAACTTCAACTAAACCTTCACCTTTTATTTGAATGTCTATCGCCTTACTAGATCACTTCGCGAACCGCACTGTAACGTCCACTTGACTGTGTCGATATCCTCATCAAATATCGTAATCGAATGCCGAAGAAATTTCACCAAAGTTAGGTAGCATTATTCTCGCTGCTTCTAGAGTGGCGGGGAATCATCGTACATTCGCGCGCTCTTAGCTACGTCACGTTTGGTTTATGGTTACCAGTGGCGGCCGGCACTATTTTCTTTCGGGCATGATTTACAACAATATTTAAGCTATTCAGTATAATTTTATAGATTTCGAATCATAGTAGAATTATATTGTACAATGGAAGTCCGAACTAATGGTGATCGGGTGATTTTGCAGGCCATCTGAGAGAACCATGTGTTTTATAGGGTTTACGGATTCAGAAAATTATCTAGATTCCAAAAATCAAATAGTATACGGGATGTTTTATGTAAAAATCAAACTTTGATGTCATTTTCGAAAAAACCAAAATTTGGGAAAATTCTCCCGTTACTCATAAAAGGTTTTCTTTATGAGCTTATTCAATATTTCGAATTTGGTAAAATAGCTTAACAAATAAAGGAAAAAAGGAGGGTGTCACTCAGTATATAATTTTTGTGAAACCTGGAAGATCTTCATGGGATAATATAGTGGCTAATTGAAATTTATAGAAAAAATTAAGCAAATCAGTTATTCTACAGACAAGAAAAGTAAACTTCAAACCGAATTCCGAAATTACAATTGACTTTTGTGGAGACATAGCCTTCAGAAAAAATAGTGATTAATTTACTCACAACATTTATTAATTTATTCAATTTTAGTGTGCGATTGTTTCTATCAGTATGAAGAGCTTTTTGTGATTGAGATCAATTGAAAAGTTTAAAACGTAAGTTATATGTAGAAACAAATTTGAACCTTCAGCACAGTTTCAATGATTTCATATCTCAGGGTTTATTTTTATATAGGACAGAAGTTTGCAATAACAATCTTGCCTTCAGATCATTTTATAAATGGTTCCTTTGATATTTTTAAGGCCTTACAAATTCGGCCGAATGTTTGAAAACTTTTTCAAGTTAGAAACTAGATTATCACTTCAGTGATTAGATTCGATAGACATAATATTTGGTGTTCTCGTATTCCAAAGATATTCAAACTGCTTTTCCTTGTAGACTAGTCAATAAATTCTAAAGCAATATTATGAACGTTAAAAATTGTTATTCAATCATTATAAAATATATTATATGGTGATTACGAATATGTTTGTTTCATTAACCTCTTCAACGATAATTTTGGACATTGAGGTCCAACTTTCCATGTATCTGTAGCAGATAGACCAGAGAAGCATTTTTAAGGTCATTTTAATAGGGAACATTGAGATTGATAATAATAATAGCATTTATTGCCCAACAGTTCCTCATTCACACAAAGTATACATGATTGATAAAAAAATTATACTATTTGATGTAAAACAAAAAAAAAGAAAAACATAAGTAATAGAAAAAAACATAAAATGAAAGAATGTGAACGTTTCTATATTCACATAAGCTGCAACAAAAAATATCGATATTAGATAGCTTGTTTGTATTACGACACATAAATTTGATTGGTGACTTCAACATCAAGTTTGTTTGTGCCCTTTTGCTGAAAAATATTTTATTCTGCGTAGACGCTAGTCTTGAAACAAATATTTCAATTTCTGCTAGTAGTGCAGAACAGTCTATTTTGTCATTCAATAAAACAGATGCCTGAATTCCTTCATTTCTCTAAACCAGAAATCAGAGTAATTACAATATCTTGGGGGTTACATTCCAATGATTCTGAAACTTGAGGAATTTCAGAAAATTGTTTTGTACTCTATCAATTGCAGATGTATATTGATTGTGTATGGGATTCCATTTTATGGATTCATATTCTAGTTTTGGCCTCACCAAACTGTAATACAGAAAGGTTAGCGTTGATATATTATGGAAATTCTTACAGTTCCTTATAATAAAACCGTAAATGCAGTAAGCTGAGTTTATAATGTAATTAATGTGATAATTGAAAGTCAGATGATCAAAAAAGACTCCTAAATTCCGGAAATTATCTGTTTTATCCAATATAATGTTATCAATGTGGTAAGGAAATTGCAGTGTATTGAATTTTCGGCTGAATGTCACAATTCTGCATTTGGATACCTTTATTCAAATGGAGGTGGTTCTTCAAACACCAACCAAACTTGTAATGAATCAATCTGTTTTTGCAGAATGGTACAGTCATTTGAAGTGT